GGTCTCGTCACAATACTGTTAGGTATTATTGCAAAAAAATGCACATATTTATAATCAGCGATGTCTCACGAGTACAACAGTAACCCCCACTAACAGGTTTTATGGTGTTTTGGAAAGTTACAGGGTCAAATATAGAATGTTCAATTTTCAAATTGAAATTTGCCACATTAGTAATGTTATCTTTGAAACGGTGTGGTAGCCCAGGAATGAGAATTACCCCCATAATGGCATACCATTTGAAAAAGTAGACAACCCAAGGTATTGAACGTGGGGTATGTTTAGTCTTTTTTAGTAGCCACTTAGTCACAAACACTGGCCAAAGTTAGCGTTCATATTTGTTTTTGTGTGAAAAAAGCAAAAAACTAATATTTGGCCAGAGTTTGTGACTAAGTGGCTACTAAAAATGACTGGACATACCCCATTTGCAATACCTTGGGTTGTCTACTTTTGCAAATGGTTGCCATTATGGGGGTAATTCTCATTCCTGGGCTACCACACCGTCTCAAAGGTAACATTACTAATGTGGCAAATTTCAATGTCAAAAAAATGAAATGCAAGCCTTATATGTGACTCTCTAACTTTCCAAAACACAATAAAACCTGTACATGGGGGGTATTGTTATTCTCGGGAGACTTCACTAAACACAAATATTAGTGTTTTAAAACAGTAAAACATATTACAACAATAATATAGTCCATAAAAGTGCAGTTTGTTTGTAAAAAAAGCAAAAAACTTCACTTTTACTTAAAATATCATCGTTGTAATACAATTTACCAGTTTGAAACACTAATATTTGAGTTCAGCGAAGTCTCCCGAGTAAAACAGTACCCCCTATGTACAGGTTTTATGGTGTCCTGAAGAGTTACAGGGTCAAATATAGTGCTTGCAAATTAAATTCTCTGCACTTTCTCCCTGTGTTGTCAGGCATGTCAATCAAATTTTAATTATTCAAATCACATAATTATGTTAAAAAATTACTTAAATATACATGTAGAATTTTAATATATATATATGCATTTATAGGTATTTAAATTTTACGTGTATACTAATGTAATTATATGTATTTATATATATATATATATATATATTTATTTTTGCGGTTATTTGTATTTTATATATAGAGAGATATATATAGAATGTCATTCTAAGTGTATTTTGTTACATATATATATATATATATATATATATTAATAACAAAATACAGTTAGAATGAAATGACATATGAATATATAATTTTAATAAACTTTTGTTTCAATATTTTATTTATGTAATTATACGTATATATAATATATGTGTATGTATGTAACGTCATTCTAAGTATATTTTAATACTAATATTAGTATTAAAACAGTCCCCCTGCTGGCAGATCCATAGCCAACTATAGGGGGCCATGTGATCGCTCTTTGAGAGCTATCACATGGCCCCCGGGGGCCTCATTCGCCAGGGGAGGGCTGCCTGGGTGGTCAGGCAGCCCTCCAGAAGAGGATCGCAGCGGAGGTAAGTAGCTGCGATCCTCTGGGGCTCAAAGCCGTTACGGCGTTCTATGCCGCCGCAACGGCTTTAAAGCCCTTTAAAGCCGCGACAGCATAGAACGCCGTAACGGCGTTAAGGGGTTAATGAGAGCCTCTGAAACTGCTATGTTTACAGCTGCAGGGTTAACCCTAGATGGACCTGGCACCCAGACCACTTCATTGAGCTGAAGTGGTCTGGGTGCCTATAGTTGTCCTTTAAGGCTTTGTGAGCCCTGCAACAGCTCATAGGTCGCCATCTGCAAAGCCCCGCCCCCTGGGTCTCAATCAGCCCTTCCACTGTCCTATGTGTCATCGGAACGCAAGGGAGTGGGAAAAAGCCTTCCTTTCTGAAGTCTGCAGCTCCTTACAGGTAGGAATATCCACGACACATATATTTGTTGCTATTGCAGGAAGTGAGGGATAATATAGGGCTGCCAGTAAGGGGAATTAGTAGTACTCAGAAATATTAGATAGATGTACACTGTGTGCTGAGAAGCTACTGATGGTTGGGTCACCTCTAATACTGTGTGTTTGTATTGTTTTCTGTGTCAGAGTGTAAATGTGTGACTGTTAGTGTGTGTCTGTATGCATGATTGTAAGTCTTTATAGAGTATGATTTTGTGCATCTGTATATATCTATGAGTGTGTCTATAGATCTATGTTTGTGAGTATGTCTATAGGTATATATATATATATATGTAAATCTGTGTGAGTGTGTAGGAGTGTATATGTGAGTGTGTTCTGTGCAACTGTCTCGGGCTGAAGGAGCAGGAAAACCTTTTAACGGGACACTGTAGCCATCCAGACCACTTAAACTAATTGAAGTGTTCTGGGTGCAATGTCCCATGTCCCTTAACCCTGTTACAGTGGTAATTATTGCAGTTTCTGAGAAACTGCAAAAATTACCTCTGAGGGTTAACTCTACTTTCGGAATCGAAATGGACCTGTGGGCAAATCCTAATGCGAGCGCGGCCACTGCCGCGCATACGCATTATGTCTCCGTGCCGGCTGATGGCGGAGCGTGGGCGGAGCCAGACCCAGCGGCGAGGGACATCGGCGCTGGATTCAGGTGACTATAGGGGTTTTAACCCCTTCAGCACCACGGGGGGGGGGGCGTGAGGGAGTGGGGAGACTGCAGGAGCCTATAGTGCCAGGAAAACAGGTTTAAGTCCCTTTAAGTGTGTGCAAATAGGGAGCTTGGAAGAGGTTAATTGCCTTAATTGCTAGAGGAAGATAGGTAGTGGTGTGAATTTCAGGTCAATGAAGGACCTATACTGGTTAAGAAGTGGGGTAATATTCAGAAGGCTACTGCCAGAAACTCCTGACACTGTACTAAGCACAGCCATGTAGAGCACTATTACCCAATGAGCAAGACGATGCGTGACCGGACAGGCATAGCTCAGTTGCACTAACAGGAGGTTTCTTGCAGGATCCTCTGGCAGCATGGGAGGCAGTGGCATGTCTATCAGTACCTATGTATGTAGTGAGTGTGTGAGTGTGTGTGTGTGTGTGTGTGTAAAAAAACGAGCACTGGCCCTGTATACACACACATTGTGCGGTTCTAGGAGCACCTCTAGTGGCCACTCCTCAGAGGTTCCTAGGCTGTTGTGTTTTTCCCTGACAAAAATGTGCTTATATTAAAAAGCCTGTAGGGACTGACTATACTCACCAATAAGCTGTAGTTCTTCTGGTGACTACAGTATCCCTTTAAGAAAACATTGCAGAGAGCATATTTACTTTGCTAATATTTAACTATTGGATTAGTGGTGAACTGCAATCCCCCCAACCACTGTTTGATTTTGGTTGCCAAATCCACAGTGTTTTCCTGGATTCCTAGCAATTCATGTATATTAGCATTAATTGGTGCAAGGGGGATATTTTATATTCATATTTTAAGCGCTGCCAATCAATATGAAATAGCAGTTATCTGGGAAAATAGTGGATCTGGGCAATTATTATTTTATTATTTATATAGCGCCATCAGATTCCGTAACGCTGTACAATGGGCAATCTTGATGGTTTACAACTCTCATTATTATCATCTGCTAATGAGAGTTACAGTCCAGCAAAGTCTGGAAGGCCAACATGTTTAAATTGCATTTTTCACTACTTACTGAAGTAATATGTTCTGTATTGTATTGTTTAATTACTGGTATTATCATCGCAACTGGCATGCTAACCAGTCAGTGTGGCATTCTGCTATGTTCAGCATACATGGTTTAGTTGTGTTGATTGCACTATATTTCCAGCACTGAACTAGTTAAATATCATATCTTACCGAAAAACAGAATGGTCCAGTTCTTTAAAGTAGCCACCTTGCTAAGGCCCAGATAAAGGAACAGTCGTTCCACAGCCCCCAGTTGCTTGAAGTGGTGTGCCTCAGTGGACCCATGATGTATCCTGTTCTTGGCTCTTACTACGTTGAGACTAGTTGCCCCATGTCTGTAAATTGCAGCAGGCTGCTGCCTCTGCCTTACCCCAGGCTCCATTTCCCCACTGCCATCTTCTTTAGTGTGAGAAGATTCATTGGGGGTCAGTGGCTGTTTTTGCATCCTCTGATCCTTTGCCTTGTTTTGGGCAGCCTTACTCTTAAATCGAGTTTCCCCTGCCATAGCAGCATACGATGAATAGGGGGTGGTAGGAATTAAATAGTTGTTTAAAATGTGCAGTTTCCAAATTAAGGGCGATGTCAAGATCTGAAACAAAAACAAAACAAAAAAAATCAGTATCATTGAAATGAAAAGGGTTCATTTAAATCCCCAATCTACCACACTCTGTGTATACCTCGAAGGTGCCCTGCACAGATTCCAGATTATCAGAGCAACTGCAATGGGATAACTGGGCTCAAGTGATGGTGGTAAAACAGGAGGGGCAAAAACAGGGGAGTAGTTAGAGGGGCAATGTGGGAGGTGAATTTGGCTTCTTAGGGACAGAGGGAGGAGCAACAATAGGTGAACTGTAAACCAGACGCGGTGTATATACACTGCATTCAGGGCACTAGAGCTAACTTTGTAAATAAAATAGAGTAAATAATAAACACACGCAGAAAAAAAAAAAAGAAATTAGCGTGATGCAGGTGACAGACTCACTGGGGGGGACATAAAGCAATATGTCCATAAAGGAGGGGCATGGAGATGGGAAGCATAGATATCCTTCCTGCTATGGAGGGGGAGGTATGATAGGACTAGGGATATACACAGCGCCCTGCAAGAAGGACTCTACTATTGTTTGTGGGTTATAAGGGCAGACATGGCTTAATAGGCAGCAGTTATTGTTGAACGGAGGAAAGGAGGACCAAGTAGCCCCATGTGTTACGGGATGCTTATACCGTTAGCTGACAGGAGGCTGTTACCCATGTGAGCGCCCTGTTTGGTTGATAGGGTTACTAGCTGTCTCTGCCTGGTGTACACGTGGGCTGCTGGGGGTGTGGGGGCAGACAGTGGGTGGGCTCCTTCTGACCCGGATAGAAATAGCCAGAGCCCTCCCTGTAGCCGCTTCCCTTTCCGCCTTCAGTCATTGCTTGTCTCGCTCAGTATGCCGAGCCCGCGGCCCCGTAGCGGTGTTTATCCGTTACCTGCAGTGATCCGATAGAGGTGTTAGCAGACGGCCGCCATGTTGTTCGGGGGAGGGTGTTGGGGTTTTCAGGGGATCGTTATTTATTTTTATTTTTTTTCTGGCAGTTCGGTAAAAATTCCTCTCCGAGATCACAATAATCCTGCCGAGTAATGATTACTGCCGTGGTTTTCTGTGTTTTCTAGCGGTTTATATTCTGGCAGGCAGTAACATATGCCTTAGGTGGGTGCAGGAACCCCAAAAATGTAAGGAGGCATCACCTCAACAAAAGCTTTCTACCCAGTGAGCGGCAGAGTAGGAAAAAACGACACATTCACATAGACACAGTAACTGCCATGTGCTCTCTGAGACGCTCTCCCACAATAACCGGTTCAATACCGTAATACATGGGGTCCTTTCTCTACATTCACACAGCACTAAACCAGGCCCTTGGGCTGAGTAATGGGAACAGTGCTAAGAGGGAGACTGGCTGGGAGGGTAATAACATAGGAGACTGGCTGGGAGGTTATTGGAAGAGGTAAATGTGGTTTGTAGTCCTATCTGGGAGTGGGGACAGAGAGTAATGGGTTAGTAACATAGTGAGCTAGTGTTTACAATAAGAGGGAAACCGGCTCTGTAGAAATATAGGGCACTGGGGAGGGTACAGCAAGAGGGCAACATGGTAATTAAAGGGACACAGTAGTCACACAACTTTAGCCTAATGAAGCAGCTTTGGTGTAAAGATAATGCCCATAAAGTCTCATCACTCAATAACCTGCCATTTAGACGTTCAATCACTTTCTTTATGCTGCCCAAGACACAGCCCTGCATGTGATTTACATTATCTTCCTAAACACTTCCTGTACATAGTCGTCTAATGTTTACACTTCCTTTTTTGCAAATTATGTTTAATTTGAGCTTCTTATCTCCTACTAGGTTAATAGTTTGCTAGATCCTGCAGGAGCCTCATGTATGTGATTAAAGTTTAATTTACAGGAGATAAACACTTTTAACCTGTTAAGGACACGTGCCTGATATATGTCTCCCAGGGAGCCCCCCCCGCGGCAGATTCTCCTCCTCCGGTCCCCCCCGGCCATGTGAGAGTGAGGTCCTTGCGTGGACCTCACAATCACATGGCCGTGATAGCTGGCTTCTTTATTGCCAGCAGGGGGGCTGCCTGAAATGACAGGTGGTCCCCCTACTGGCTAGAAATAAAATAAAAATAAAATCAATAAGTATAAAAAAAAATTATACTTAGAACATATATATATATATATATATATATATATATATATATATATGATCTAAGTATATATATACACATATACATACACACATACACTGTCTAGGTGTATTTTACTATTAATATATATATATATATATATAATTATATATATTAATATCAAATTACGCGTAGACTGATACTGATTAAATATATATATAATTATTGTTATATATATTTATATATAATATAAAAAAATTAAATATGTAAATAAGTTAAAAAATTAAATTTAAAAAATAATTAAAAAATATATAGATGTGTGTTATTTCGTTCTAACTGTATTGTGATATTAATATATATATATTTATATCAAAATACACGTAGAACGAAATAATATATATATCTACATACACAAATATATACGTATATATCACTATATATATACCTATATATAAATAAAAATATTTTTAAAAAATTATATATATATATACACATATAGATTCACATATGTATATATATACATATATTAATTCTACATATATATTTATGTAATATTTTTACATAAAAAAGTAGAAAGAAGGGAAGGCACCTAGGTGCCGAAAAACCCAACAGGAGTGTGTGAGTCGAACTTTCTAGGGGGTAACCCTTGTATATATACAGTATAATAAAGAAGTTGGTGATCCCAAGCTGAAGTAGCAACAGGAGCACTTTGGAGAAAGTTCTACAATGAACTATGTTACAAAATAATAATTTGAAATAACTTTATTGAGGGTATACATATAGATACCCTCAATAAAGTTATTTCAAATTATTATTTTGTAACATAGTTCATTGTAGAACTTTCTCCAAAGTGCTCCTGTTGCTACTTCAGCTTGGGATCACCAACTTCTTTTTTTTTACATAATTAGGTATCTTAATTACAATTAGCGGGACCTGCCTGACAACCCATGCCGAAAGTAAAGGGAATTTAATTTGCTAGCACTATATTTAACCCAACTTTCCAAGACAACATAAAACCTGTACATGGGGGGTACTGTTCTACTCGGGAGACTTCGCTGAACACAAATATTAGTGTTTCAAAACAGTAAAATTTATTACAGCGATGATATCGCCAGTAAAAGTGAAGTTTTTTTGCATTTTTCATGCACAAACAGCACTTACACGGACGATATTATTGCTGTGATACTTTATGCTGTTTTGAAACACAAATATTTGTGTTCAGCTAAGTCTCCCGAGTACAACAGCACCCCTCATGTACAGGTTTTATGGTGTTTTCAAAAGTTACAGTGTCAAATATTAAATATAAAGGATTGTGTTTCATTTTTTTCACATTAAAATTCGCCAGATTGGTTACGGTGCCTTTGAGACCCTATGGTAGCCCAAGAATGAAAATTACCCCTATGATGGCATACCATTTGCAATAGTAGATAATCCAAGGTATTGCAAACAGGGTATGTCCAGTTTTTTTTAGTAGCCACTTAGTCACAAACACTGGCCAAAATTGGTGTTTTTTTGCATTTTTCACACAAATACTAACGCTAACTTTGGCCAGTGTTTGTGACCAAATGGCTACTAAAAAAGACTGGACATACCCCATTTGCAATACCCTGGGTTGTCTACTATTGCAAATGGTATGCCATTATGGCTGTAAATTTCATTCCTGGGCTACTATAAAGTGCCAAAGGCAACGTAACCAATCTGGTGAATTTCAATTTCAAATGTAACGTGCTATATTTGACCCTGTAACCTCCCAAAATGCCATAAAACCTGTACATAGGGGGTACTGTTTTATACGTGAGACTTTGCTGAATACAAATATGTATTTTATTGCAGTAAAAGCAAACAGTATTATGACATTGACAGTTAAAATGTCATGTAGAACTAAAAAAAATCAAAAAAAAATCTTATTTTCTCCAATTTGTTTCATATTAAATTATGTTTCATAGCTAAATATTTGATATTAAATGAAAGCCCTGTTTCCCCTGAATAAAATGATATATAATAAGGGTGGGTGCATTTAATATGAAAGAGGTGAATTACAGTTGGACAGACATGTAGCGCAAATGCCAGGTTTTGTTTACATTTTGTTTCGTTCACAACGTGTACATTTGGCTCCGTCCTTAACCCCTTCAGGACGCAGGACGGTTCAGGACCGTCCTCGGCATTTTTGCATTGCCGACCGAGGACGGTCCTGAACCGTCCTAACGGAAAACGGGCGGCGGGAGCGATCGGAGATCACTTCCGCCGAAATCCCGTTGTTACTATCTGCCCGGCATCCCAGGCAGATAGTAACAGCCAATTGCGGCATGTGAGCGATCCACGATCGCTCACAATTAGCTGGTGTCAAAGTGGGTGTTACAAACACTCACTTTGACACTGATCTCTGCCTCTCTCCCCTCTGTAGCGTTTTGTGAGAGGAGAGAGACAGAGATCGTGATAGTTTGTTGCAGCAGGTGTTCCAGAGATTATTAAAAAGTATCAGCAGTGAATAAAAATCCTATTTTAACCCCTTCCCTGCCAGATCTGTTACAGACAGTGCATTTGTACTGTCTGTATTTTTTTTTTTTTGCCCTTAAGAGTTAACTTTATTTAAAAAAATCTGTGTCTTAGACTGTCTTAGTCTGTCGTAGTCAGTCAGTTTCCTTCCCCCAAATCTCCATTAGATTCTTCTAACAGGAGTTAGTTTCGGGATTACTGTTTTAGTCTGTTTTAGTGTTAAAAAAAAAATAAAAAAATTATTGTGTTTAGTATTTTGTTAGTTTAGTCTGTTAGTGTGAAACATGCAGTGCATGTACAGCTTGGAGGAGGCGTATGCCTTCTTGGTGTCAGACTCTGACGCCACTGACACTGCGTCTGATTTTGACCCAGGTCAGTTTAGCGGCACGTCATCTGTGTGTGAGCCAGCTGCTGAAAGAAGCTGTGCTTCCCCTGCTACGCTGAATGTGGAGGAGGAGTGGGTACCTCCACAGGTAGCTGAGCTCAACATCCCCCCTTTTAGTGCCAATGCAGGCATTAATGTGAATGTGGTTGACTTCTCCCCTATACAATATATGGAGTTATTTTTAGGGGATACCATCTGGGAGGAGATTGCTTCCCAGACTAATTTATACGCTAGCCAATTTACTGAGACCAATCCAGGTAGCTATACAGTCAGGGAGCATGCTTGGCATCCCACAGCTGTCCCTGAACTTAAAACATGCTGGGCTCTTACCATGCTCATGGGGATAATAAAGAAGCCATCAATTCGCCCTTACTGGAGCACCAACACAATTTGTTCGACTCCTATATTCTCCAAAACAATGCCTAGACCAAGATATGAGCTGCTGCTGAGATACTTACATTTCAACGACAATACGCTCTGTCACCCCAGAGATCACCCCCAATATGATAGGCTTCATAAAATATGCCCACTGGTATACCATCTTCAGATCAGATTTTCTGAAGTTTATACTCCCCAACAAAATTTATCTATTGATGAATCCCTTATGAAATACAAAGGGAGATTAGGGTTCAAACAGTATATCCCCTCAAAGCGGTCTAGGTATGGCATTAAAGTGTACAAACTGCGAGAGCGAAAGTGGCTACACATTTGCCTTTCGTGTATACGAGGGGAAAGATGCTCAACTGAACCCTCCTGGCTGTCCTGACTCTCTGGGGACAAGTGGGAAACTTGTTTGGGACCTACTGATCCCCTTGTTCAATAAGGGTTACCACCTTTATGTGGACAATTTTTACAGCAGTGTCCACTTGTTTAAAATTCTTTATAGTTTGCAGACACTGGCCTGCGGCACTGTAAGAAGAAAGGCCAAGGATTTCCCCAGACCTCTCATAGAGGCCAAATTAAAAAAAGGTGAATGCAAAGCTCTGCGCAAGGCTGAACTGCTTGCGCTAAAATATAAGGACAGGAAGGATGTTCACATGCTAACAACCATCCATAACGAAGGCATGTCAGACGTCACTGTCCGAGGCAGGGTACAGACAAAACCGGTGTGCGTCAAGGCTTATAACAGGCACATGGGGGGTGTTGATTTGGCTGATCAGCTGATGCAGCCATATCTTATCTTAAGAAAGACAAAAGCCTGGTATAAAAAGGTGGCTATCTACCTGTTGCAAATAGCAACACATAATTAATTTTTACTTTTTTTTTAAATGAATCCAGGAAGAACCACCTATCTCCAATTTCAGCTCAAGCTGATTTCCACAATAATTTATGGAGATGGTCAAGTTCCAACAACGGTGCAAGAGGAGTCTAGACATTTTATTTTTAAGATGCCGCCAACAACAAAAAAAATGACACTCCCAGAAACGTTACCGGGTCTGTTATAAAAAAAGGGAAAAGGACAGACACCCCTTTTCACTGTCCCGATTGCCCTACAAAACCTGGACTGTGTATTTGAGTATGTTTTAAGGTCTGCCACACAGAAAATACATTTTTATAATATTTGTTCCTGATTTATTTTTTTTGTTTATTTTGAAAGCAGCAAATTTCTGTTAGTCAGTATCCTTCCCCCAAATCTCCAGTTAGATTCTTTTTGCAGGAGTTAGTTTACAGATTGCTGCTAACGGAAGTTTTAGTCTCATCTAGTCTGTTTTTATCAGTTTTAGTCTGTTTTTAGTATAAAAAAAAAAAATTGTGTGTTAGTAACTCTGTGTTAGTCAGACTCTGACGCCACTGACACTGCGTCCGATTTTGACCCAGGTCAGTTTTCTGACATGTCATCTGTGTGTGAGCCGGCTGCAAAAAGAAGCTGTGCTTTCTCTGCTACGCCGAATGTGGAGGAGGAACGGGTTTCTCCACAGTTAGCTGAGCCCCAAATCACCCCTTTTAGTGCCAACACAGGCATTAATGTCAATGTGGATGACTTCTCCCCTATGCAATATATGGAGCTATTTTTAGGGGAGACCATCTGGGAGGAGATTGCTCCCCAGACTCATTTATATGCTACCCAATTTATTGATACCAATCCAGATAGCTATGCAGTCAGGGAGGAGTGTGCTTGGCATCCCACAGATGTCGCTGAACTTAAAAAATTCTGGGCTCTTACAATTCTCATGGGGATTATAAAGAAGCCATCAATTTGCTCTTACTGGAGCACCAACCCAATCTGTTCTAGTCCAGTGTACTCTCAAACCATGTCTAGAACAAGATTTGAGCTGCTGCTGAGATACTTACATTTCAATGACAATACCCTCTGTCACCCCAGAGATCACCCCCAATATGATAGGCTTCATAAAATACACCCACTGGTAGACCATCTTCAGCACAAATTTACTGAAGTTTATACTCCTCAAAAAAATGTATCTATTGATGAATTGTTAATGAAATATAAAGGGAGATTAGGATTCAAACAATACATCCTCTCAAAGCGCTTTAGGTATGGCGTAAAATTCTACAAACTGTGCGAGAGCGAAAGTAGCTATACATTTGCCTTTCGTATATACGAGGGGAAAGATGGTCAACTGGACCCTCCTGGCTGTACTGACTCTCTGGGGACAAGCGGGAAACTTGTTTTTGACTTAATGATCCCCTTGTTCAATAAGGGTTACCACCTTTATGTGGACAATTTTTATAGCATTGTCCGTTTGTTTCAAACTCTTTAGGGTTTCTAGATACTGGCCTGTGGCAGTGTGAGAAGATATGCCGAGGATTTTCCCAGACCTTTTATAGAGGCCAAATAAAAAAAAAAAGTGAATGTAAAGGTCTGCACAAAGCTAAAGTGCTTGCAATAAAATTTAAGGACAGGAAGGATGTTAATATACTAACCACCATCCATGACGAAAGCATGTCAGACGTCACTGTCTGAGGCAGAGTACAGACCAAACCTGTTTGCATCAGGGCTTATAAAATGCACATGGGGGTGTTGATTTGGCTGATCAGCTGATGCAGCCATATCTTATCTTAAGAAAGACAAAAGCCTGGTATAAAAAGGTGGGTATCTACCTGATGCAAGTAGCAACACATAATTCATTTTTACTCTTTAAAAAAATGAATCCAGAAAGAACCACCTTTCTCCAATTTTAGTTCAAGCTGATTTCCACAATAATATATGGAGATGGTCAAGTTCCAACAACGGTGCCAGAGGAGTCCAGACATTTTATTTTTAAGATACCGCCAACTGCAAAAAAAACAAATCCCCTGATTTTTTATAAAAAAGGGAAAAGGACAGACACCCCTTTGCACTGTTTTTTTTCTTTTGAAAGCAGCAAATTTTTGTTAGTCAGTTTCCTTCCCCCCAAATCTCCAATTAGATTCTTTTTGCAGGAGTTAGTTTAGAGAATGCTGCTAAAGGTGCATTTGATACCTGCACATTTGGTTAAAAAAGTTTTATGGTAGTAACATATAACTGGCTGGCCAAAACCAGATGACGTGTGCATAAAAAGCAGAATTCAAAAATTACCACCATGCACATTCTCTGAAATTTGTTTAGCACAATGGTTGGGGGAAGGATATGAAAACACCTCATATACAATACCTTGGAATGTCTACTTTATAAAAATATAAACTTTCATGATGTTAACATTAACGGGGGGATGCAAAAATATGCCAAACTGAAGATAGGCCAAGCATACCTATATATCAAGTTGAAAAACTGATATGTACAAGTCTTGATTGTGGCCTTTTAGCCCCCAAACAACCCAGCAAACCTATGCATGGGTGATATCACTGTACTCAGGAGATGTTGCTGAACACATATTGGGGTGTTGTTTGGCAGTGATACATAACAGGATCTGTTAATTCATGCCTAAAGTACAATGTATGTGTAAAAAAACATGAAGAAAATTACTACCCAAAAGTTTGCCAAAGGCTGGTGGTAGAATTATTGCATGAAAAGTATTAAACTACCACCATTTAAAATACCCTGAGTTGTCTACTTTTCAAAAATATATGGTTTGATGGGGGTAAAATACATTGGCCCAAATAGGACAGGGGCGCTGGTTTACTACAAAATTCCAAGTTGAAAAATGGATATGTGCACCTGCCAAATGTGGCCTTGTAGCCCCCAAACAATCCGACAAGCCTATGCATGGGTGGTATCACTGTACTCAGGAGATGTTGCTGAACACATATTGGCGTGTTGTTTGGCAGTGACACATAACACGATCTGTTAATTCATGCCTAAAGTACAATGTGTGTGAAAAAAAACACACAAAAAATTACTACCTAAATGTTTGACAAAGTCTGGTGGTAGAATTAGTGCATGGAAAGTGTTAAAAAAAACACCATTTGAAATACCCTAGGGTGTCTACTTTCCAAAAATATATGGTTTGGTGGGGGTAAAATACATTGGCTGGCCTTACAAATGTCCCAAATAGGACATGTGTGCAGGTTGACTACATGTCAAAATTCCAAGTTGAAAAATGGATATGCGCACCTGCCAAATGTGGCCTTTTAGCCCCCAAACAATCCGACAAGCCTATGCATGGGTGGTATCACTGTACTCAGGAGATGTTGCTGAACACATATTGGCGTGTTGTTTGGCAGTGACACATAACACGATTTGTTAATTCATGCCTAAAGTACAATGTGTGTGAAAAAAAACACACAAAAAATGACTACCTAAATGTTTGACAAAGTCTGGTGGTAGAATTAGTGCATGGAAAGTGTTAAAAAACCACCATTTGAAATACCCTAGGGTGTCTACTTTCCAAAAATATATGGTTTGGTGGGGGTAAAATACATTGGCCGGCCTTACAAATGTCCCAAATAGGACATGTGTGCAGGTTGACTACATGTCAAAATTCCAAGTTGAAAAATGGATATGCGCACCTGCCAAATGTTGCCTTTTAGCCCCCAAACAATCTGACAAGCCTATGCATGGGTGGTAATACCGTACTCAGGGGATGTTGCTGAACACATATTGGTGTGTTGTTTGGCAGTGACACATAACACGATCTGTTAATTCATGCCTAAAGTACAATGTGTGTGAAAAAAAACACACAAAAAATGACTACCTAAATGTTTGACAAAGTCTGGTGGTAAAATTAGTGCATGGAAAGTGTTAAAAAACCACCATTTGAAATAGCCTAGGGTGTCTACTTTCCAAAAATATATGGTTTGGTGGGGGTAAAATACATTGGCCAGCCTTACAAATTTCCCAAATAGGACATGTGCACAGGTTGACTACATGTCAAAATTCCAAGTTGGAAAATGGATATGCGCACCTGCCAAATGTGGCCTTTTAGCTGCCAAACAACTCAACAAGCCTATGCATGGGTGGTATCACTGTACTCGGGAGATGTTGCTGAACATATATTAGTGTGTTTTTTGGCAGCAAGACATAACAGGATCTGTATGTTTATACCTGAATTGCAATGTATGTGAAAAAAAAATAAAAAATACCTATGCAAAGTTTGGCAAAGACTAGTGGTAAAATGGCTGCATAGAAAGAGTCAAAATATCCTTAGATGAATACCCTAGGTTGTCTACTTTAAAAATATATATATACATGTGGAGTGTTTTCCAGAGATTTATGACAGATAATAGTGTTACAATGTCACTATTGATACATTTTAAAAATTTATGTTTTAAAACCGCCATATCCTACTTGTACCTATGGCCCTATAACTTGCAAAAAAAAAGCACGTTAACACTGGGTATTTTTAAACTCAGGACAAAATTTTTAATCTATTTAGCAGTTTTTTTCATTCGCTTTTGTAGATGAGTAAAAGATTTTTCAAGTAAAAGTCAAAAAACATGTATTTTTTTCCATTTTTCATCATATTTTTTCATTTTGTTTAAATTAAAATACAAGAGATTATATAAATAATGGTATGTAAAGAAAGCCCCTTTTGTCCTGAAAAAAACAATATATAATTTGTATGGGAACAGTAAATGAGAGAGCGGAAAATTACAGCTAAACACAAACACCAGAAAAGTGTAAAAAGAGGCCTGGTCGCAAATGTACAACATCGCAAAAACAGTCCAGTCCTTAACCCCTTAACCCCTTAAGGACGGAGCCAAATGTACACATTGTGAACAAAACAAAATGTAAACAAAACCTGGCATTTGCGCTACATGTCTGTCCAACCGTAATACACCTCTTTCATAGTAAATGCACCCACACTTATTATATATCATTTTATTCAGGGGAAACAGGGCTTTCATTTAATATCAAATATTTAGCTGTGAAACATAATTTAATATGAAAAAAATGGGAGAAAATAAGATTTTTTTTGATTTTTTTAGTTCTACATGGCATTTTAACGGTCAGTGTCATAATACTGTTTGCTTTTACTGCAATAAAATACACATATTTATATTCAGTAAAGTCTCACGTGTAAGACAGTACCCCCTATATACAGGTTTTATGGCGTTTTGGGAAGTTACAGGGTCAAATATAGCACGTTACATTTGAAATTGAAATTTGCCAGATTGGTTACGTTGCCTTTGAGACTGTATAGTAGCCCAGGAATGAAATTTACACCCACAATGGCATACCATTTGCAATAGTAGACAACCCAAGGTATTGCAAATGGGGTATGTCCAGTCTTTTTTAGTAGCCATTTGGTCACAAACACTGGCCAAAGTTAGCGTTAGTATTTGTTTGTGTGAAAAATGCAAAAAACGCCAATTTTGGCCAGTGTTTGTGACTAAGTGGCTACTAAAAAAGACTGGACATACCCTGTTTGCAATACCTTGGGTTGTCTACTATTGCAAATGGTATGCCATCATAGGGGTAATTTTCATTCTTGGGCTACCATAGGGTCTCAAAGGCAACGTAACCAATCTGGCGAATTTTAATGTGAAAAAAATGAAACGCAAGCCTTATATTTGATGCTGTAACTTTTGAAAACACCATAAAACCTGTACATGAGGGGTACTGTTGTACTCGGGAGACTTCGCTGAACACAAATATTTGTGTTTCAAAACAGTAAAAAGTATCACAGCAATAATATTGTCCGTGTAATGCTGTTTGTGCGTGAAAAATGCAAAAAACGTCACTTTTACTGGCGATATCATCGTTGTAATACATTTTACTGTTTTGAAACACTAATATTTGTGTTCAGCGAAGTCTCCCGAGTAGAACAGTACCCCCCATGTACAGGTTTTATGGTGTCTCGGAAAGTTATAGGGTTAAATATAGTGCTAGCAAATTAAATTCCCTTTACTTTCGGCATGGGTTGTCAGGCAGGTCCTGCTAATTGTAATTAATTAAGATACCTAATTATGTAAAAATATTACATAAATATATATGTATAATTAATATATGTATATATATACGTATGTGTATATATATGTATATATCTATATAATTTTTTAAAATATTTTTATTTATATATAGGTATATATATAGTGATATATACGTATATATTTATGTATATAGATATATATATTATTTCGTTCTACATGTATTTTGATATATATATATATATATTAATTTCACAAAACAGTTAGAACGAAATAACACACATCTATATATTTTTTAATTATTTATTTTTAATTATTTTTTTAATTTTATTTTTTAACGTATTTACATTTTTATTTTTTTTATATTATATATAAATATATATATAACAATAATTATATATATATTTAATCAGTATCAGTCTACGTGTAATTTGATATTAATATATATATATAATTATATATATATTAATAGTAAAATACACCTAGACGGTGTACGTGTGTGTATGTATATGTGTATATATATACTTAGATCATATATATATAATATATACATATGATCTAAGTATATATTATTATTTTTTTACACCAATAAATGTAATTTTAATTTTATTTTCAGCCAGCAGGGGGACCACCTGTCATTACAGGCAGCCCCCTGCTGGCAATGCAGGAGGCAGCCTACCCGGCCATGTGATTGTGGGGTCCTCGCTAGGACCCCACTCTCACATGGCCGGGGAGCACCGGAGGAGAAGGATCTGCCGCGGGGGGGCTCCCTGGGAGTCCCCCCCACCGCGATCGCCGGCATGGGACCGCCGGCGACCGGGTAAGTTAACAAAAAACGGAGGGCGTACAATTACGCCCGGCGGCGTTTAGAGCCGCCTATTAGAGGGCGTAATTGTACGTCCTCCGGATTTAAGGGGTTAAGGACGGAGCCAAATGTACACATTGTGAACAAAACAAAATGTAAACAAAACCTGGCATTTGCGCTACATGTCTGTCCAACCGTAATACACCTCTTTCATAGTAAATGCACCCACCCTTATTATATATCATTTTATTCAGGGGAAACAGGCTTTCATTTAATATCAAATATTTAGCTATGAAACATAATTTTATATGAAAAAAATGGGAGAAAATAAGATTTTTGAAAATTATTTTAGTTCTACATGACATTTTAACGGTCAATGTCATAATACTGTTTGCTTTTACTGCAATAAAATACACATATTTGTATTCAGTAAAGTCTCACGTGTAAGACAGTACCCCTATGTACAGGTTTTATGGCGTTTTGGGAAGTTACAGGGTCAAATATAGCACGCTACATTTGAAATTGAAATTTGCCAGATTGGTTACGTTGCCTGAGATCGTATAGTAGGCTCGGGAAATTGGCGACTATATGGTGAGTTACTATTTAAATCTGTTGTAATGGGGACCAGTTCTTTTAGTATTATTTAGAACACTGGCCAAAGATAGCGTTAGTATTTGTTTGTGTGAAAAATGCAAAAACCGCCAATTTTGGCCAGTGTTTGTGACTAAGTGGCTACTAAAAAAGACTGGACATACCCCGTTTGCAATACCTTGGGTTGTCTACTATTGCAAATGGTATGCCATCATAGGTGTAATTTTCAATCTTGGGCTACCATAGGGTCTCAAAGGCAACCTAACCAATCTGGCGAATTTTAATATGAAAAAAATGAAAATGCAAGCCTTATATTTGACGCTGTAACTTTTGAAAACACCATAAAACCTGTACATGAGGGGTACTGTTGTACTCGGGAGACTTCGCTGAACACAAATATTTGTGTTTCAAAACAGTAAAGTATCACAGCAATAATATTGTCCGTGTAATGCTGTTTGTGCGTGAAAAATGCAAAAAACTTCACTTTTACTGGCGATATCATCGTTGTAATACATTTTACTGTTTTGAAACACTAATATTTGTGTTCAGCGAAGTCTCCCGAGTAGAACAGTACCCCCATGTACAGGTTTTATGGTGTCCTGGAAAGTTATAGGGTTAAATATAGTGCTAGCAAATTAAATTCCCTTTACTTTCGGCATGGGTTGTCAGGCAGGTCCCGCTAATTGTAATTAATTAAGATACCCAACTATGTAAAATTATTACATAAATATATATGTAGAATTATTATATGTATATACATATAATTATATGAATATATATGTATATATCTATATAATTTTTTAAAAATATTTTTATTTATATATAGGTATATATATAGTAATATATACGTATATATTTATGTATATAGATATATATATTATTTCGTTCTACATGTATTTTGATATATATATATATATATATATATATATATATTAATTTCACAATACAGTTAGAACGAAATAACACACATCTATATATTTTTAATTATTTATTTTTAATTATTTTTATAATTTTATTTTTTAACGTATTTACATTTTAATTTTTTTTATAATATATATAAATATATATATAACAATAATTATATATATATTTAATCAGTATCAGTCTACGTGTAATTTGATATTAATATATATATATATAATTATATATATATTAATAGTAAAATACACCTAGACGGTGTACATGTGTGTATGTATATGTGTATTTATATACTTAGATCATATATATATATAATATATACATATGATCTAAGTATATATATATATTTTTTTTACACCAATAAATTTTATTTTAATTTTATTTCCAGCCAGCAGGGGGACCACCTGTCATTACAGGCAGCCCCCCTGCTGGCAATGCAGGAGGCAGCCTACCCGGCCATGTGATTGTGGGGTCCTCGCTAGGACCCCACTCTCACATGGCCGGGGAGCACCGGAGGAGAAGGATCTGCCGCGGGGGGGCTTCCTGGGAGTCCCCCCCACCGCGATCGCCGGCGTGGGACCGCCGGCGACCGGGTAAGTTAACAAAAACCGGAGGGCGTACAATTACGCCCGGCGGCGTTTAGAGCCGCCTATAATAGGGCGTAATTGTACGTCCTCCGGTTTTAAGGGGTTAAGGACAGAGCTTCAAAAGCTTGTCTTTCACTTAATGACAACAGCATTTGTTTAATTTTTTGCTGTTTGCATTCAACTGCAATTTGCTTTTTACTAATTTATTGCACCGACACATATTATATACCGTTTTTTAAAGGACATAAAGGGCTTTAATTTGATGTAACATATGTATATATAAATGCTTATTTGTTATAAATAAAATACAGAAAATGCAAAAAAAAATTAGAAATTCTTTTTTTTTTACAGTTTTTGCAATAATAATGTGTGCACAATTAGTGCAGGTTAAGGAAAGTAATTAAAAATAAATACAGAATATATAATGTGTCTGGGATTTTAATTTTTTTTTGGTAGTTACAGGTCACAAAGCACAAGGAGTAAAATAAACTTTTAATGTGGAGCGATTTTAGAATTTGGAATACACACACATTGCCCACACTCACACACATACTGTCCCACACATACACTGCATCCCTGACATACACTGCCGCCCTCACTCACACACTACAACCTTCAAACACACACACTGCTCACACACTGTCCCCCTCACACACACACACACTGCACCCCTTACACATTGCACCACTCACACACACCACTGCTCCTATCCCCTACTACAGCCCCATTTCCCAGCAGACCTCAGGTAAGTTGTCAAACTGTTCTTAAAGGACCACTATAGTGCCAGGAAAACATACTCGTTTTCCTGGCACTATAGCAGTGCCCCCTGAGGGTGCCCCCACTCAGGGGACCCTCCCGCTCTGGAAGGGGAAAGGGGAAAAACTTACCTTTTTCCAGGCCATGAGAGCTCTCCTCCCTCCTCCCGCCCTGCTAATACCGGCTGAATGCCACGCCGCGTACACGCGCCACAAGATTCGTCGTAGTGTTCATAGAAAGCATTTGCCAATGCTTTTCTATAGACGCTATGCGCTCTCATCACTGTGAAAATCACAGTGAGAAGCACGTTGCCTAGTGGCCGTCAATGAGACAGCCACTCAGAGATAGGGAAGGTTTAATTCCATTCGAGTAATTATAGCAGCTCTCCCTGGAAACTGGCAATTATGAAAAAATGGGTTAACCCTAGAAGGACCTGGCACCCAGACCACTTCATTAAGCTGAAGTGGTCTGGGTGCCTAGAGTGGTCCTTTAAACGGTTTGACTACTTACTCTGGGAGGGGGTCTCGGCACTATTGACACTATAACCACTACACTGAGCTGTAGTGGTTATTGTGTCTGGATTATTTCTTTAAATAATCTACAAGTGCCCCTCCCGAGATCAGGCTCTGGATCTGCCACTGCTCAGCAGTCTGTGTGTATGTGTGTATGGACTCAGCAGTCTGTGTGTGTGCATGGTCTCAGCAGTCTGTGTGTGTGTATATGTGTGTATGGACATAGCAGTTCGTGTGTATGGACTCAAAGCAGTCTGTGTGTGTGTGTGTGTGTGTGTGTTTGTGTATGGACCTCAGCAGTCTGTGTGTGTGTGTGCGGCTGACTCAGCAGTCTCTGTGGTGTGTGTATGGCCTAAGCAGTCTGTGTGTGTGTGTGTGTGTGTGTATGGACTCAGCAGTCTGTGTGTGTGTATGGACTCAGCAGTCTGTGTGTGTGTGTGTGGACTCAGCAGTCTGTGCGTGTGTGGACTCAGCAGTCTGTGTGTGTGTGTATGACCAGCAGTCTGTGTGTGTGTGTGTGTATGCGTGGACCTCAGCAGTCTGTGTGTGTGTGTGTGTGTGGACTCAGCAGTCTCCTGTGTGTGTGTGTGTGTGTATGTTGACCTCAGCAGTCTGTGTGTCTGTATGGACCTCAGCAGTCTGTGTGTGTGTGTGTGTGTGCGTGTATGGACTCAGCAGTCTGTATGTTTATGTGTGTGTATGTATGTTCTCAGCAGTCTGTGTGTGTGTATGGACTCAGCAGTCTGTGTGTGTGTGTGTGTGTGTGTATGGACTCAGCAGTCTGTGTGTGTGTGTGTGTGTGTGTGTTTGTATGGACTCAGCAGTCTATCAATAATTACAATTCCTGTGAGTTGTTGTTTAGGAAGGGCCCCAGTGCATTGCTTTGCCCAGGGGCCCTTAACTCTGTTAAAATGGTACTGCTTGTGTGTGTCAGTGAGCTTCTATTTAGTGAGCATGTGTGTCAGTGAGCTTCTATTTAGTGAGCATGTATGTCAGTGAGCTTGTCTTTAGTGAGCTTGTGTGTGTGTGTCTAAACGTCTTTGTAGTAAGCCTTCTGTTTATACAAGTGAGTTTGTCTTTTATATATATATTTATATAGAGAGAGAGAGAGAGACATGTTTAACATTTATATTATAATATTATACAATGCCCTGATGTGAAATTATAGGTATGTAATATTGTGGTGAAAATAAGACAATATTTTATTATTCCTCTTTTTTGCTATATTCCGAATATAAATACGATGAATTAAGGGCATTTTGCCCTATCTCTAGTAGACATTTTATGTGCCGATCATGTGACCGACACGGAACTGTGTTATCCATGTCACAGGAAGTGACGCGCCGGTACGGAAGTGACGCGCCGGAATGAAAGTAAGGGGCGGGACCAGAGGACCTGACGCCCCAGATGATGCATTTCCGGATGAATAAAGAATGAGGCGGACATGTTGGGGAGGCTTGGTGGGGACTAGTGCATGGCCGGTAGTGCGCCCATATTTTGGTTGGCGTGACACTTCCGGCCATGACCATATATGGGAGTGGGTGGGATTTTCTTGCACATGTTGCCAATTATTAATTTTGCTAATTGCTATTCTCTGATATATAAGAACTTTTTACTTCACTGTGAAACTAGATGCACTTTAGAAAGACCTATGTAAGGTTGAAACGCGTTGTGCTTTTATTGCTCAATTATTTGTATATATATACACATTTTTTTATTTCTAATTTTGTTACAATAAAAATACCTCCTTATCTACTTTGGAGTCTGCTGCCAATTCATCAGTTCCAGGTTCCTGTGGACACACCTGATGTACCAGCACTATATGTCTCAAGGAGGAGACGATAAGCGCTACAAGTTTAGAGCCAACTTTTAAAAAGGCTCTGGAAATTGTGAGTGTGTGAAAGAAAGTTATTCCTCACTTTGATATTTTATGTAAACAGGTTACACTATGTATGTTTTATTTACCTATGTATAGGTTACAAAAACTACCTAATGGTAGTTAAGGTGCATATTGTGCCTTAACATGCACCCATTTTTTCACCAATATATGCCAAAGTATGTGGTAAAAAATAATTTTGTGCATTTTTTACATACGGATTGCATTTTTGCTGGGCATTTGGTATAGTTCATATGTGCCACTAAGTTCACACCCCCCAAATTATGCTCAGCTAAGTCTTCTGAGTAAAAAGACACCCCCAATGAATGTCTTTGGCACTATTTCGTGAAGCTACAGTGCCATATAGGAGACCAAGCCATATCAGTTTTACCGAACTTTGAATTTTGACGCTGGGCCTATGTGCAATTTTTAAGCATCTTCGCAGGTTTTAAATTCAAACTACCCCTCAAAGGCCTACCATTTCTTAAAGTAGACACCCCAGGGTATTTCAAAAGGTATATTTTGAACCTTAGTGTGGGATCATTTTTCCACTAGCTTGCCAGGTGTGGTAATAAGCGTTTTTTCTGGCTTTTTGACACACAAAGTGAGTTTGCACAGTATATTTTGCAAACCTTATGTGTGCTACGACTGTATAATACTTCATATGTTGCTCAGCTATGTGGTCTGAGTACAGCAATACCCCCGTATGTACCTTTGCCATGTATATGTGGATGTTGAATGGGCAGTCAGTTTTTTTCTAACTTTGAAGTTTTACGCTGTGTCCATGTTCCAATATGGAGTAGTTTAGATGGTTGGTTATTGAAACTTCTCCACAAACACATATTTTTTACTAAATAATACACCCTGGGGTAATTCAAAAGGCATATTTTGAACCTTGGCGTGGGATCATTTTTTTCTCTAGTTTGTTCCAGGTGTAGTGGTAATGAGCGTTTTTAAATGTATTTTTTTACTTTTTTAAACTTTTTTACTTTTTAAAACTAGTTTTTAAACTTTTGTTTTGCTTATTAATTTTTTTTTTTTTTTTACAGATTTAACATTTTTCTAAGCTTTTTTTTTTTTTGTCCCGAATTGTTCGCCACGGTTCACCGCGAACGGTTCGCTGCGGACTCATCATTGAGTAAACTTTCCTGTACCTCACAGTCAGCAGGCACATTCCAGCCAATCAGCAGCAGACCCTCCCTCCCAGACCCTGCCACCTCCTGGACAGCTCACTAAGAATGCAGCTTCACAATGGATGCTGTCCAGGAGGTGGGAGGGTCTGGGAGGGAGGGTCTGCTGCTGATTGGCTGGAATGTGTCTGCTGACTGTGAGGTACAGGGTCAAAGTTTACTCAATGATGAGTCCGTGGCGAACCGTTCGGCGAACAGTTCGGGACATCACTACCGTTAACCCCTAACTAGCGGTAAGCAGCACTAACAGAGTAAATTTCCCATTTTCCCATAACTACAACCCACCCCAGCTAGCAAAATCTATAATTATAAAATATTTAAATTAGTTAATAATTAAATAAATTGAACCCCTGAGGGTTAAAAAATAAATAAAAGTTAATCCTCAGGAGTTAAAAGAAATTAGATCACAGTATAATACTGTGATTTGTATTTTGATCACTGGAGGCAGTAATGGACTGGCAGTGAAGGGGTTAGTTTTTATTTGGACTGGCTAAAGGGGGGTGTTTTTTTATTTTTTACTTAAACGTTATTAAAACTTTTTTTAACTTAATTTTGAACTTTTTAAAGCTTATTTTAAAACTTTTTTTAACGTTAACCCCTAGTTAGCCGAACACCAAATTCCCCAATTCCCCACTAACTTCCACACACCCCAGCTAGCTTAATTTATCATTTTAAAATACTTAAATTAATTAATAAAATTTAACCCCTGAGGGTTAAAAAAAAAGAATTAACCCTCAGGGTTTAAAAAAAAAAAAAAACAGTTCATAGTAAAATGTAATCCCTGCCAATTGATCACTGCAGTCAGTGATCAATTGGCAGGGAAGAGGTTATTTTTTTATTAAAATGGGTAAAGGGGGGTGGGATTTGAAATTAACTTTATTTTTTTTTTTTAACAGGGGGCAGGATCATCACTGATCTGTCTCCCTGCACTTCAAACAGAACCAGGAAATGCAGGGAGGCGGAAGGTAAGTATACTAAGCACATGTGCTCGCTCTGACATGCTGTCAGAGCGAGCACATGTGCTGGGGCAGCACTATCGGGTGCTCCCGGTCTGCCTCTAATACGGAGGCAGACCGGAGCACCATTAACCACGCGATCACAGCAATCTGGGGTTAATTTTACCGCGTAACGGACAAGGTCCGTCACTCGTCGTTAAAGGTTTCCCCTGAGTGACGGACCTCGTCCGTCACTCGTCATTAAGGGGTTAATACCTTTTGATAGCAAACACGTATTTACAGTTTAATATTTTTATATAGTGTCATGTATTTTGGGGTGTGGGGACTTCATCACAGTATTGTAGTGATAGCTGTAGTTTTGTTCATTAATATAAGTATGATTCTGTCTGTAATAAATACATCACAAGTCTGGTGCACAGAAATGGAAATAAAAGAAAGAATGAGAGCAAGAAGAAGGAAAAACAGAAAAAGAAGAATCCATTATTGAAATACTTTAAAAAACAAAAATGTACGGAGCAAGCAACTGTGATACAGACTGACTCTGAGGAAGATAAAGTACATTATCAAGAAGCAGAAAAGAAGATTGCCTGCTGCAGCACATCAAACACAACTGACCCTGAAGTTCTAGTTGAACCGTTACAAGAAGAGATGAAGGTCCACCTCCAAGTAGCGTTTCCAACACACATGAAATTTTACAGGAAGACTTTGATTGGTAGCATCCAGCTCTGTGGCCAGATGTATTGAAAGACAATACAAATTGTGATTGGTGGGCTAAAAAAAGAAGAGATACAAAAAGAAACGTATAAAGGTATGGACAAAGATTATAACGAACAGTCCTTCAGTGAATTTGTAATATATTCAAAATCATTTAATGGATGAGAGAGACATATTCGGATTGGCTCAGGTGGAATCCAACCAAGAATGTGCTGTATTGTGTGACTTGCTTGGCATTTTTGTCAGCTTGTGTCAGAGTGACTAGCATGTGTCATAAGAAAGAAGGATTTGATCCCTCCAAAAACAAGTGGAATTTACTTTACATTAAACTACCAGAACAGAAAAATCCATTATTCACAAACAAATCTAATGAAGTTGGAGAAAAATTCAAATATCCATGGTAGGGCATAGTATGGATTCTAATCTGCAAAAAATGTTTGGAGATGGAAATAGACAAATATTCTCCTTTAACAGGTACAAAAATATATAATATATATATATATATGTATATATTTATATATATATATATATATATATATATATATATATATATAGCAGAAAAGAATACTTAACTCCCACAAGATATAGCTTCCAAGGATCTGAGGAGGAAAACATAAACAAAACCTAGCATGATACAGTTGGATACAATGTAACTACATTTTTTTCAAATGCACTCACAATGTGTTGGAAAAGATCACGCCTTAGGGTGCCTCACCTGGTATAGGTCGGGGGGGTTATCACCGTCTTTAGGTCCATCCTGGTGCAGATCTGGTCCGTGACAAAAATCAGAGAATCTGAATATTCAGCTTCATAAAAAATTCTTTATTTTGTTCAAATGAATATTAAAAACAATATTCCAAAATTGAATATTTATAAAAAATATGGTCCAACACGTTTCTTCCACTATATGTGGACTTCTTCAGGGACAAAAAATAATAATACAGTGATACAAACAAAATACACCCTTAGGTGTCAAACTGCCTACCCTCCTCATTCCCAACGTCCTTTTAATAGGGCTCTTCCCTTTCAGTCATTGGTGCTTCAGTGGGCGCTGGTCTCTCCTTTGATGTTGATAGGGTAATGTCTGTTGAAACACGATCTTTCCCAGGCTCTCAGCTGTTTTCGGTCATCTGTTGATGTTCCGTATCGGAGTTTCGGCTGGCGTTCATGCGTCATGTTGTTTTGTGTTCCACCACTTGCTGTCAATATGCACTTTCGCATTTTCATTTACTTCCGCGTTCCAATGTAGTTTAATCCAATGTAGTCAACGTTTCATATATGTCGGTTCACAGATATACACACATATATATATATATAAGCAAGCCTTGGCCTGTAGTTGTGGGAGGGGCTTGAATTCCCTTTAAAAGGGCTGCCAATCCTCTCCCACCTTACCGTGGACAGTCTGGCGAATCACCCCTCCCACCGCTCCCTCTATTCATATCACCCTCTAAGGTGGGCCCACTTTTATTATATATATAATTATATATCTATCGGTTATAATATGCTATGTTACACTATCATTACGGCTAGATTGCCCCGACTACAAATATATATATATAAATATATATATATATTATATACACACACACATATACATAACCTAGAAAATGGTTTTGACTTGGGGTGCCTTGGGAAAATATTGAAATGTTAAGGTTGCCTTGACTCTAAAAAGTTTGGGAACCTCTACCTTAGACTAAATATTTTTTCCGGTCTAAACGAATGATCTCATC